CAGTATTAGTTTAATTGTATTTGTGACAGCCCGTTTCCTGCTTCAACGTTTCGCACGCACGCCGGCGCAGTTAAGTAGCGGCGTCGTTCCATACGTAAAAGGTGCATTGCCTATTGTGAATCATCCCGGTTTCGGGTTGAGTAAACTGGTTATTCATGGGACGCCACTGCTTTATCCTGCCCTGACATGCGCGTGTTAATTTTTCCTATTGTACAGCGACCTATATCTTTGTTACGTTGATTCATATCAGCGAATTCTGTGTATCATAACCGGTTGTACAATTAAACCATCCTTTACGATATTACTGTGCATTTAATTGTGTGCGAGTGGGTCTGGTACTACAATAAGTTGTATAGGGAACAATCCAGGCATTAGCTGGCTTATTTTCGATATTTCAATCAGTAGGGTGTCAAAGAACCCACAACACGAGGTGAAGGCGTGCCTCTTATCACTTTGTGGTCGGATGCTAGCCTACCCCGTGACAATCAGTTTGAATTATTTGCCATATTTTATGTGCATAATCATTCCCCTCTACATTCACTAATAGGTGATATATCTTGTATTACTAAGCTCTAATTACACATTGTGGGGAACGAGTCACCCCACTTGAGGGAGTAAAAACAGGTCATGACAATACCTATTGTTCAATTGGTCATTCCAATGTATTCCATTTTAATCTTTGATTACATTGATCTTTGAATCGGTCTGGTATCGCTTGAATGTAAACAATTTCAAAAGTCAGCAACCATATAATGGTTCGTAGGAGAATTGATATGCATTTTATTTCATTTCCCCCATAAATTAATTATTTTACCAAAATCGTTGAGCAATGCTAAATTTATGTTTTTTTAAATCTAAGATAGAGGCTAACCGATTTTTAATTCATTTTCGAGATCAATGCACTTTTTAATATTTTCAAAACATTTTATGCATTATTCTTGTGAAATTCTGGATAATAAATTATGTTTCACTGACAGTCTCACTGACATGGGTGATTAAGTAACCTATCATTTTTGCCGAAAAAAGGTCTAGGGTAGTAAATCAATTTTAGTTTGGATTATAGGAACCACAAATTTTTGTATTTGGTCTAACAATATAAGCAAATGATGTACATCAAATTAATATACATCGAGCACAGAAAAAAATAGAATTTGTGGCTGTAAAAAGCTGCATCAGCACTTGTTAGAACATTAAAACAAATTTTCCCTTAAACCAACATTGATGTGTTTTATGCTATTGGTCTCATGCCACTAATAAGACTGCGTTCGTAGCCCTCAAATCTTATGGTTGTTGTTAGCCAATGGGCTTTTTTTGTTTGTGAAACTTGATGTATGAGGGCGTACTTCAATGACGCCGCATGTTAGACTTGTGAGTGTTCATGTGTAGTTTTGTTTATTGACAAATACCTGTGATCTGTGAATCTGGTAACTCTTGATTGATTAGACACTTCCAAACAGGCCGTGTTTCTGAGAATATTGAAGGTACAAAGCCTGACAAATCTGCCTTTATTTTGTAGGAGAGTTTTACTGGCCAGAATTCTATTTTAATTTTTGTAACTTTTTGGTAGAAATTCACCAAAACACTACAGAGTTGTAATTAGTGGTTTGAGCCCTATTGACACCATATTCAAACACTTTCCTTTGTTCTCATTGGTCGCTATATCGCCCGATTGTAATCAAATCTTGTCACTCACACAAATGTCTCCACAGCACCAAACATTTTTTATTGTCATTCCTGTCTATAATCTCAAATTAATACTACAAGCAGATGTAAAAGATGTAAAATAATGTTATCATGAGGATACCGCAAAGTATGCATTCAGGAAATATGGGTTGCATTGACCTCCAATACACGTCTGTCAATACAATCATCATACTGCAGTTGTTCATACTTTGTGATATTTTGAGTCTATATAGCCAAGTCTTACCTGATTCAGGATGTGGTAGATTTGCTATAATGTGTGACCATTCCGTAAATTCAAAGATGAACGATGTAATTCCACCATCTTCATTTGCTAACTCTTGTGCTTTACGAACAGATGCATAAAATCTACGGTTGTATGCCAAACGCACTCTCATTCGTCTTCCCGTTTTTTCGGCCTCCTCCACTGCTCTCACAATTTCCACAAGTTCTCCACTATCACGACCTCCTGGTTTCTCTAGAAGTATTGTATTTACTCCATGCTTTATCAACTGAAGAGTACACGTTGCAAGGTTAGGAATTGTTACAGTTACTATAGCAACAACACTCTGGTTATCCACTGGCAGTAGATTAGCACTGAGAAAGTTATCAAGTCCTCCGAGATGCACCGGGTGGCCTGTATTAGTTTCAAACTTAGCAGCACTCTCTGCTCCTCTGCCGATGACTTCAAACTTCACATTTAGATTCTTCAAAACTTTAGCATACTCTGCAGCGTGAACTCCAGCACCAACCAGCCACACAACTTGGTCTGCCATCTTCAAAGAACCTAACAATGAAAAATTAAACAAATGATACAACACCGCGATTCAACAAAGTCACTGTCAATTATAACAATGAGAAATATAGACAGATTATAATTAAAGGCTGGGGGAAGTATTCGTCATGTTAAAATATGGCCAGGTATTGTTCAGTCGTAGTGGGAGATTTTTTTTGTAGTTGTACAATTTACCAAAACTGGCCAGTTGATTTACGACATTAAATTGGTTTAAATTTTATGACAAGATTTGCTAAGAAATAGACTTACAATGAATTTCACAAAAACCCCAACACAATCAAAGAAAAAGTTCATATTGTATAAACATCAGTGAAAGTATCAAAAAACTGGCAAGACACGAAAATAAAAATAATCTTGACAATCAAAAAGTCCATGGTATACAAAATCTGCAATCTGCAAAATCAAGAATGTTTCATGACATAAACTGTATACCAAATCATTTATTCACAGCCGTTTCCATTTGAGAAATGTTCACTAAATATAATTTTTTTAAATATGAAAAAGGAATCTAATAATGTATGCATTGGTTTTATTTTAGCAGGTACAAAAACAAAAAATACTGTGACACCAGGACTATGCAACTTTGAACTGCCGACAGCCTGTGAATAAGGTAGAGGGGGGGGGGGGGCAAGGTTTATTTTCGTTCAACGTAATTGCAATATTTTTTTGTTCGTACAACGTAAATAGAAAAAATAAATTCCGTCATTCTGTAATCACAGGCTGGACGTACAACGTAATCAAATATTTTTTTCGTACACTGTAAAAATGTGTCATTTTTCTCGTACGTACAAAAATTCACATCCAAATAAAAAAATCGTAAAGAATAATCCAGGGAAATTACATTTTAGAAACTGTAAAACGACTAGATGACACAATTCACTACAAAATTGAATGTCAAGACGTAAAAGGCCCTCTAACCGAATGAGGAGCATTACGAGGGTAATATGCGCATGCATCTCTTCACATGGCGCAGCAATGGCGGAGAATTTGAGTCTGAGAGCTTTTCGGACCATTCAATGTTCCATTTGTTAACACTGTAAACTGTAAAAACGTCTTTTTTCTTCGTAAATTGTGAAAAGCCCTTTTTATTTCCCGTAAAACTGTACCAGCTACCCCCCTTGCCTCCCCTCAAGGTAGGCTACCAGTTAATCTGCTCAGGGCTGGGGTCAAAATGTAATCAATTGTATTTTAAAATTTTGGCTAGGATTTATGTTTTGTTTACATGTAATCTGCTATTTTTTTTATTTCTTTCCTTTATATAGTACATGCTCTTTTTTTCTCATAATGTAGTTACATATAGTGTGTAATCATGCAGTGACCGCAATGAATATTACCAAGACGAATGACATGTCATTTCTATTTTCACAAATGTAGAGCATTTTTTTTAAAGAGAAATATGCATGTAGTGATGAAAAATCAAGAAAAATTAATAAATAGAACTGATCAATTGATGATTTTTCGTTCAGTTCGGGATCTCACATATTGCGTGAAAGGCGCGGACCGAATTGTCTGCCACAAAGATCGTGCGATTTTTGAATTTATGTTTCTTTTTTATAGCTCAATGTCGAATAGCGATCCTTGAGAGGGAAATATCGTGTTGAGATCCCCTAACTTCATAGAGATTGATCATCATCACATGTGTATAGTACATTATTAAGCAGGGGAATACCCAAAAATATTTTCACGTTTGACAAACCCCATGCGATGTTCGCAAGCCACTACGGCGGTATGACCTTGTCCTGTTTTTTCGTTTGATTCCATAAGGCGGGACCTCACAGCCAAAGGAAAATGGTCTTGATTTATTCTAGCATAGTATCAAAAGTGTACTCTCATAGCTATGACATTAAGCTCAAATTCATGTAAGAAAATATTCACACTCATCTGATACAAGAAATATTTAATAGTTCTAAACATTAAAACATTTTGGTGGAAGTTTATTTTTATTGTTTTAATAATCTTATTTCAAACATTTTGCTCTTAATATTATTGTAATCACAGCTAAATAAAGAAAGTTATGACGATTTTTTTAAAGTGTTCACTGGCTACCTTTGATTGTTTGCCCAGGATTGGCTAGCACTTGCATAGTGGAATAGTGAATGTGAATGGACATAGCCATGACATTATCCCAATTTCATTTCAAAAACAGGAAAAATAAATTATAGTATTATCATTCTAGAAATAAAGATCTAGGTGAAAACAAAGAACAAATTAATTTGCATTTTTTTTATAAAAATCCCCTTCTTAGGGTGAAGCCACACGTTAAAGTCTTCACAAAATAAAAAAATAAGCCCTTTGTGAAAATATTGTCTGGTTTAATTATTTTATATATCAATGTTTATTTACCAACCAAAAAAAGTTAATAATTAAAAAAAAAAAAACAGCTGATACACCCATTTACATTTACATTAGAATATGCCAAAGCAAATCAGAAACTTTATGTAATGACATTGGAAAATAAAGAAGTCAGCCTGCCAACACAAGAACGAGATATGGCACCATTGGAGAAAATATGTACAGTTTGAGCCTGACTTGCGTTCAGAAGTGGAATTTCCGGTCCGCCTACATGTTTATTTAGCGAAATTTAAATTTACTGCATTGAACTGTCAGACTGCGAAAACGTAGCGAATCAATAAATCAGCTAGATTTTTCTTTGACTTCCTTATTAGGTTTGTCACCATGAGAGAAAAAAATAATGACATCGCATTTTTTTTACTGCACAGCCACTAATCTGGCGAAATGGTCTGTTTCAACTCATCTCTAAATGGAGACTAAACAGACTTGAAAGCAAATATTGAACATGCAGCCACAAGGCCAACTTAACAAGACTGCTGCTTGAAAATAAGACAGTAATAGTACCGAAATGCAAAGATCCAAACTTCAGTTTGGATCACAGTTCTCACCAAATTGTTCAAACTGAAATACCTGACAACTATTATATGACAGTTATAGCTTCCTGGCTCTCTTGGAGCAAAATTGTCAAACAAATTTTGGGAATTGATCCTGAAGAACTCAGTACTGGCTGTCTTCAAGGTGCTTTTAATCACGTTCACTTTGAGATTATCCTATTTCATAATAATAAAAAATCAAAGAAAGCTTAGAAAGAACTCCCGTGTGCTGAGAGTATTGGAGACACATTAAAAATTAATTCAAAATTACTTGAATTTGAGATGTTGATGGAAACGCACAAGGTCTGCACAATGTACCAAGTTTCATTGAAATGTGATTAGAACCAAAAAAATATTAATTATTATGCTAATTAGAGAATTAATATGAACAGATTTTAACCCAAAATTAATCAGGCTGTCTATTGTCCTAGACCATTTATGTACCAAGATTTATTCAAATGTGATGATCAATACTTGAGATATACAGTATTAATTATGTTAATTAGGTGATTAAGAAGCATAAATATTTACCAAAAACTAATATGGTGTATAGTCCTAGGTTCATTGAAATGTGACAGGTACAATGTACTCTTGAAAAGTTTCGTTGAAATCCAATGAGTGGTTTTTAGACATCAGTGCAACAGCCATAGAACAGCAAAAAATTAACTAATTATGCAAATTAGGTAATTAATAGGCACAATTATTTATCGCAAAATTAATCAGATCTCTGCATAGTCCTAGAATATCTATGTCGCAAGTCTCATTGAAATGTGATGATTAGTACTTGAGATATCAGGTGAAAAGCTGAAAATTAAATAATTATGCTAATAAGGTGATTAATATGCACAAATATTTACCCAAAACTAATTAGGTCTCTGCACAGTCCTCAAGTAACTATGTACAAAGTTGCATTGAAACGTGATCATTATTACTCGAAATATCAAAACCTGAAAATTAATTAATTATGCAAATTAGGTAATTAATATGTACTGATATTACCCTAAAAACTATCAGGTCTGTGCAGTGTCATATGACATCTATGTACCAAGTTTTATTGATTCAGAAATGTTATGATTAGTACTTGAGATATCAGTGGAAAAGCCGAAAATTGATTAATCATTATGTAAATTAGGTAATTAATAATATTAACAGATTTTTACCCAAAACTAATCAAATCTGCGCATTAGTTCAGAGCATCCATGTGCCAAGTTTCATTGAAATCCAATGAGTGGTTCTTCAAAAATCAGTGGAACAGTCATAGAACAGCTTAAAATCAGTTAATTATCATGCAAATTAGGTAATTAATATTCATAGATTTTTACCCAAAACTAATCAAATCTGCGCACTAGTTCAGAGCATCCATGTGCCAAGTTTCATCAAAATCCAATGAGTGGTTCTTCAGATATCAGTGGAACAGTCATGGAACAGCTAAAATCAGCTAATTATCATGCAAATTAGGTAATTAATATTCATAGATTTTACCAAAACCTAATCAGCTCTGCGCATTATCCCAGAGCATCTATGTACCAAGTTTCACAAAAATATGATTAGTGGTTCTTGAGATAACGGTGGAACAAAAAAAGTGACATACATACATACAGACATACAGACAGACATACAGACAGGGTAACTGCAAAGACTCCCTTTTGTGCTTCGCACACGGGAGTCAAAAAGTACACAACCTTGTTTTTGAGAGAAAAAAGTTTAGTTCCACAAGGAAAAAGTAAAAGATGACTTTCAAATATAAAAACATTCTGATATTTTGGAAACTCACTGATGGGAGTTGTAGAGGAAAAACAATTTCAATAAAAAGAAATAAGTAACTTGCCATTTTAAAATGATTTTCAAAATTTAATAGTTAAAATATACACACCAATAAATTGTCATAAAACATTTTCTAATGTGAAACAATCCACGTTGCCAGTGATTACCCACAATCCTTAGGGATTTGTAGATTGGGTAAAAGTTTGGTAAATGTCACCAAGATGCAGCTACCTGGATACTTGAAAACTCATCAGTAGCGAGCACATTATTTTAGCTAATTTATTTGATTCAAGATGTTGCTAGTTTATTGGATATATATAGAATAAAGTTTATAATTCCCACAATGAAATTATTTCATAACGCACTTTTAAAAAACAAATTTATAATTCTCTAATAGAGTTCAAAATAGTATGCCAATTAAAAAGTTTTAGAGAAATCAATGTCAAAATAGTATAAATCAGCATCAACATCCACACCATACTGGATAAAAGTTAATACAGCTTACTGGATAAACAGTTAATATAAGCTTTCCGAAAAAACTAAGATTTTCTATCATTTTGAATATTAGATTCATGGAGTTACTGAATAAATAAAGAAGCTTATACACTAACTACGGTAGCAGGGACTATGTGCATATTGCAAAAGCCAAACTGAATTTAGCATCCTTCATGAAGCTCCTAAATAAGGTTAAAAAAAAAACAGAAGCGACTTTTTAAAATGTTTTCACTAAGGCCTTGTGCTTTCATAGTTTGAATTATGCGAGGAGCAAAGCCGGGCATATAAAACTATCCAAAAACGTCTGTCAGATCTGGTACACTAGCATTTCACGTAACTATAACTTGAACAATTTTTAAAATCTCCCACCAACCACCCTGTTCGAGTGAGTGGTATCTTGAATTACGACAATTGTTATTAAATTTTGCTTGCATGCAATATTTTCTGGGCTAATACCAAGCTGGAATTTTGAGGTGAAAATATTGTAACAAACTTGGTGACCTTACTTGCAGGTGCATACATTTCAATAATATTTAGACTCAAACCACTCTCCTATTTGTGTGGAGAGTTACTTACATTTCCCGAATTGTGTGCAGTGGTAACTGATGGAAAAGATATGCAAAACTAGATTCATTTACCAAAAAATTAATAGTTCTAAGCCGAAAACAAATAATACGTTACACATGCTTTAACGTGTTTTTTTTTTTTGATTACATGTACTAGGTCTAGTTTGCTTCTATGTTTACAAAGAAGTTAATAATTAAACGAACCACACCTGATGAACTCAAGATATCGTCAGCGTTTGTGAGGTTCACCTTGCGAAGTTAGAAAAATTAACTACACCAAACCAATTCAGACACGTTACGTAATAATACTCAAAGAAATTTCCGAAGAAATCTGTGAGAAGGCCCGCCGACACGAGACGTTATAAAAGTTGCGGTTGTATTTGTAAAATATCGTCAAAACGTGACTGAAACTCGGAGTTTTAAAATTCCACCCGTTTTTTATGTGTTGGGGTTTCACCTCCTTTAAGGCTTTTTGGTGTTTTATCTTTGAACAACGCCGCGGAATTCCGCTTAACATCGTCGGGAATGCGACGAGTAACGGGCAATCTGTTTAGAGTAGCGTTTTAACTAACCAGCAGACGGCAGAGTCCAATGGATGGAGCAAGCTATAAGCGCGGTACCGTGCAGCGATACGCGTAATATTTGCCAAAATTCTCTCAATGGAAGGCATTTCTAGCCCAACACAAGGGGCAAGAGTTTCACTTAGCATGCTTACCTTGCCCATTCAGCGTGCACAACTACAATATAGAACCACCTTGTCAGAGACCCGGCATCCTCAATAATTATGGTGCATATTACTCGCCGGAGCAAATGAACGAGATTGAAATCGAGGCAAGCCATTCCGCCCTCTAGCGGCGAGTGTGTAACAATCTTCAGGTAACATAGTCGCGCGTATTCCAGGGCGACGTTTTGTTGTTTTCATGTGAATTTCTCTGTCGATTTCCCCACTGGTACTACACTATACGACAGTGACATTTACATAAAAACAACAAAACGTCACGGTCACCCTGGTTTACACGCTATGTAGACGTTTCACCTGGCAAATTACTAGTAATTTAGATATAGCAACAAGTGCATGTATTGCCCACAGAACACAGGTCAAAAAACATGGTGATTTTTTGGCCGTTTATTATTGGTTTCTATGGTAACAAATTTTCACCATATCTAATTTTTTTGTTTTGTTACACATGGTTATAAATGTGTAGTTATTAGATGGGTACTTATGGTTGTAACGAATTAATGGGAAATTCTGATGAATATTATTATTATTTTATGAAACAACTCTTTTAACATAGCTTCCCATAGAAATTATTCTAAAAGTATCCATTTTTGTATTGTTTTTGCCTAAAAAATATTTTGCACTGAGAAAAACATAAACAGATGATGCCAAGTGTCAAAATCTATAATTATGAGGTGCTTCTAAAAAAAGAAATCGCGATGAAATGTTCTTCTCAATGTATTAGGTTGTATACCCGCAATATACTTGTAAGAGATAGAGTTAATTGTCACGTCGTCATACTCTCGTTATTATAGGTTCGTGTCATGAGGATACTACCATTTTTTTTTTTTTTTTTTTTTTTTTTGGAAACGATTCAACAAACGATTTTTCGAGTCGGTATTGTAATGGAAATGATCAGCGTTTGTG